ACCAGGAAAACAAGAGAAGATCAAGAAATGAGCCAACTGCTCCCCCATTGCAGATGTGCCAGTAACTCACTTTAAAAGTTAAGGAAATCAATTCCAGAGTCACCTCCAGATATCAAACCAAAGCCGAGCCAGAGTTAGATTAGGGCCAGAACCAGAGCCAGAGCCAGAGCCAGAGTGAAGCAGGAACCATAGCTAGAACCAGGTTCAGAGCTGAGTCAGAGTCTCATCAAAGACATAGACTAGGGGCTAGAGAGATGGCTTGGTAGTTAAGAGCAGTTAAGAGAGCTGTTCTTCCAGAGTACTCGGGTTTGATTCCCAACACCCACATGACAGCTAACAACTGTCAGAAAATCCAGTTCCAGGGGATCCAATGCCATCTACTAGCTTCTGCATGCTTATACAACATGGGTGCACTTATATATATTCAGGCAAAACACTCATACACATAAAAATAAAAAATAATAAAATATTTTAAAATATTTTATTTGTTTTATTTTGTGTATGAGTGTATTGCCTACATGTGTGTAAGTGCACCAGTGTGGTGCAATGCCTGCAGAGATGAGAAAAGGGCATCGGATCCCATTGAACTGGAGTTATGGACAGTTGTTAGCTACTATGTAGGTGCTGGGAATCGAGCCAGGGTCCTCTGGGTCCTGTGTAAGAGCAGCCAGTGTTCTTAACCACTGAGCCATCTCTCCAACCCCTAAATAAAATTTATTTATTTATTTATTTATTTATTTATTTATTTATTTATTTATTTATTTATTTATATACCTGTATTGCCTGCATCTATGTAAGTGCACCTGTGTCATGCAATGCCTGCAGAGGACAGAAGAGGCTGCTGAATCCCTTGGAAATGGAGTTATGGACAGTTGTTAGCACATGCATAAATGGAACATCTATTACCATACCCTCTCCTCCAAGGATCAGAGAACATTACAGGAGAAGGGGCTGAAAAACTGTAAGAGCCAGAGGTGGTAGATTAATTCAAGGAAACCATGTTGTCTAGACACCCTGAGGCAGTTGCATATATGAATCCACAGTGTTTGTGGCAGCATGCACAAGACCTGTGCAAACCCAAGCCAGACAAAAAATCCAGCATGAATGAGGTACATAAGAAGCTCCAGCCCTAACTGAAGATCTATTGGCAATTGATAGCTGCTGGGAGAGGAATAGTCAGTTTTCTTTAAGAGGGTGATGCCTGGTAAGCTGACCAGACTCCAAGAGCCTTTGGGAAACAAAAATTAGACCCAATAGGCCTACAAAAGAAGAAAAATAATAATAGAGGACATGAAGTTAGGAAGGCCAATAGGATGGAGTAAAAATAGGGGAGGGGTTCTCAAAGAACCAATAAAATATTTTTAGAAATCTAAGAGCATACGAAAAGGCCATAAGGAAATCTGCTATATAGCAAGCCAACTTTTAAAATTATGTTTCTGCATGTTTGTCTATACATGTGAGTGTCTTCAGAGGGCAGAGGGCATCAGATATCCTGAAACTATAGTTATTGGTTATTGTGAGCCATCTGAAGAGGGTACTGTGAACTGAACACGGATCTTCTGCAAAAGCAGTACATGCTCTTAACCACTGAGCTATCTCCCCAGCTTTTGGTAAGCAAATTTTAACAATAAAATTTAAGAGTTTGAAGGGATCTGAATATTCAATATGATTTCTACCAAAATTCTAAAGGAATTTTGTTTTCTGAAATGATAAAAGTCATATAGAATCTTTAGGGATCTCAAATAGTCAAAACAATATGAAAAAGAACATATTGGAAAACACACATTTCCTAAATACAAAACTACAAAGCTACAGTACTTAAAACATTGTAGTGAAACCACAGACATATAGGTAAATGGAGAGAATATCAAACTCACAAATACACTTTTACATGTGGTCATATAACTTGTGACAAAGATACCAAGACCATTCAATAGGGAAACAACAGTCTTTTCCACAAATGTTGGTGGCGACACAGGATATCCTTATGTAAAAAAGCTGAAGTTGGGGGCTGGAGAAATGGCTCAGTGGTTAAGAGACTGACTGCTCTCGCAGAGGACCGGGGTTCAATTCCCAGCACCCACATGGCAACTATGAACTGTCCTTAACTGCAGTTTCAGGGGAATCTGAAGCCCTCTTCTGACCTCTGCAGCATTACACGACACAGGTGCACTCACATACATGCAGGTAATACACTTGTACACATAAAATAAAAAGAATAAGTAAAATTTTTTTTAAAAAGCTGAAGTTGGAACCTTATATAACATCATTTATGAAAATTAATTTTAAATGGATAAAAGACTTAAATATGTAAAACTATAATCTCTTGGAAGAAAACTTAAGGTCATACATTGTGGCATTGAATTTGGCACCAAAGGCACATGGAACAAAAAATAATTAAAGAAATCAGATTTCATTATATCAAAATGACATCACTATTAAGGAAGATAATAGAGAATTCAAGGGAAGCCTGGGTATGTAGCAAAACTTTGTCTCCAAATTTAAATAAAAGTTGATAACTCTTGGTGGGAATATAAAATGTTATATATAGCTACAATGGAAAATAATATGGTGGTTCCCACCGAAGTAAAAATAGCTGGGCATTATAGTTCCTGTCTATAATCCCAGCACTCAGGTAGTTGAAAGAGGAAGAATGTTTGAGGCCACAGTGGGCTACATAATGAGGACAAGGTCAATTAGCCAATGCTGTATTGTAAGAGCCTCTCTCAACCTAACAAAGCAAACAAAAACAGAATTATCATATAATCAAACAATTCTACTTCTAAGCACATGCCTCACCAAAACCTGAAAAAGATACTTGTATACCCATGTTCACAGTGGCATTTTTCATGGTAATTTAAACATATAAGTAGTTAATGTCCAAAATGAATAGATACCAGAATATAATATGTACTACAACAGATTCCTATTCTGCCTTTAAAAGTAAAGAATCCTGACATGCACCACAACACGGACAAGTACGGAGAACATTATACTAATGAAATAAGTCAGTCATGTAAAAGATAAACACTATCATTCTATTTATATGAAAATTATAGGGACAGAAAGGAAAATAGTAGTTTCCCAGAGCTGAGGGGAGGAAAAATACAGTTATCACTTAATTGTTGTGAATTTTTATTTTTATAGAATGAATATATGCATAAAATAGGATGATGGTGATGGTTATATGATACTATGCATTTAATAACCTTGAACTGTATCTTAAAAGAAAATTAAAGCATTCAACCATTTTTTGACCCATCCAATTGTATTTCTGAGTATTTATACTAGAGAAAATGAAAACTTCTAATTATATATAACTATGTCCATATATTAATAGCTGTTTTCATAATAAGGGCCAAAACTTGAAACAATTCAAATGTCCTTTAACAGATGAAGGGTTTAACTGTGGTATATCCATAACAGGGAATATTACTCAATAATAAAAGTGAACAACTGATACACTATCAGCTCTCCACATGCTCATTATCCATAGGATTTCATATTCACAATTCCAGCCAATTATGGTTCTAAAATTTTTGACCTAGAAATTGTTTTTACTAAACATGTTCAGATTTTTATTGTCATCACTTGAACAATACTATATAACACACTACATAACATTTATATGCCCTAGTTTCATAAGTAATCTACAGATTATTTAAGATATACAGGAAGATGTGTGCAGACTATATACAAATATTACATAATTTATGTAAAGAATTTGTGCATCTGCAGATTTTGTAATCCATGAAGTGAACCTAAAGTCAATCCTGTAGACAAACCAAGGGATGAGTGTATGCGACAATTTGGATGAATCTTCAGAGATATATGATACATATAAAAACAAGTTCCATAGATCATTCACTACATCATCTCATTACATGACATTCTTGTGGTTACAAAATATTGAAATAAAGAACAAGTTAAGAGTTGTTAGAGGTCAGATGAAGGGTTAGGAAACATAGAGTGATAGCGTGGTGGTTTGAATGTGAAATGTCACTTTTTGGCTCATGTATTTGAACACTTGGCCCCTAGCTGGTAATGCTGTTTGGGAGGGTTGTGGAACGTTTAGGAAGTAGAGCCTTACTAGAGGAAGTATTTCGCTGGGTGTGGGCTTTGAGATGTTGTGGCCTGGCTCCATTGCCTCTTCTCTTTCTTAGCTTCTGAACTTCTGATACAAAGTGAGCAGCTAGCCTTGCGTTCCTGCCACCATGTCTTCTTTGCCATGCCTTCTCCACCATAATGGACTCCATTCCTCTGGAACTGTCAACAAAATAAACCCTTTCTCCCTTAAGTTGCTTTTTTCAGAGAATTTTATCAGAGCAACAGAAAAGAAACTAAGACACGTTTCACAATAGGTGGGCAACATGAGGCATCATTACAGTAACAATAATGTCCTGTAACTCTATCCTGGTTGTGATATCACACAACTGTTTTATAAAATGTCTCTGTAGTATTTCTTAAATGTAATTCTACAATGATTTCAAAATAAAAGATTTGATCTGAAAATGCAAAAGACACTAAAAATCAATCATTTGAGAAGAAATGTATAGCACTATATACACAAACTAGAAAAGAAGAATGTTAACAAATTAATGAGTGTTTTTACCTTAAAAAATTGGGAAAAGGCAAACTAAACCCAAAGTAAATAGAAGATAAAAAGATGAAAGCAGAAACTAATATAATAGAATATGGTAAAACAATAAAGAAATATAATGAATCTAAACATTCATTTTGTATACTTGATAATTTAGTTTCTGTAGTCAGAAAAGAATATGACACAATCAACCAATAACAGGAGTTAAAGAAGGAATAACAATAGTGATCTGAAGGACAAAAAACATCAACAAATTTGACAGTAGATATTTTCACAATAGTTACTTATTTTAAAAGAAGCAAAATACTTTATTTGGTCATTAATGTTTTATTTACTTGGATGTTCAATCAAATTCAATTGATTTTAATCTACAGAATAATGAACAAAAAGTTAAGGATACATTCGTATAGCACCTGTTCTTGTTCCAATAGCCAAGATTTTCTGAACTGGATCAAAGGCCAATGTTGTGGGTTGATAAGGAAAACCATGCCGAACTGTCTGAAAGAGAGCAAATAGTACAGTCATCAGGGAATAAAAGTTAAACTCATGAAAAGAAAGTACTAAAGGGCCACCAGAATGATTGTATTTTTTAAAAAAGATAAAATTACCACTAAATGACTTACAAGGACATGGAGTAACCTAAACTATCATACATTGTTGGTGAGAGTGCAAAATGTATCATTTTATAATAACTTGGGAAAATGTCTTAGAGTTTATCAAAAAGCTAAATATATACCTACAACAGGCCCTAGCAATAGCACTGTATATGTACCTAGAAAAAATTAAAAGCACATTTCCACAAAATGATTTGCTTAATTATGACACTAAGAACGTTACTCATAAGGGTAGAAAACCAGATATAGCCCAGGTACCTATCAGTAAGAGACTTTTAAAAAGTGCTACAATCATAAAATAAACTACTATATAACAATTAAAAGATACGAACTATTGATAGATGCAACATCATGGATGATTCTTAAAAGCATTATGCTAACTGAAAGAAGTCATATGCAAGAGTTCATACAGTATGATCATATTTGTATCAAGCATTCAAAAAGAGAAACTAATCAGTAGACTGACTGGGAAGGTAGACTGACTGGGAAGAAGATGGAGGCAGGAGGCAGCAGGCAGCAGGTTCAAAGTCATTCTTGGCTACATAGACTGTTTGAGCTCAGCTTGGACTATATGATACCATCTCAGAAACAACAATAAAATCTTTTAGGCCTTTGCTGTGTTCATATCCTTGTGTAAGAATATCTTTCTTTGTTCTAAGTCCAATCTATCACTTTTTCTTCTTAAGCAAATATGTCATGTGGCCACCTTCACTGTTATACATGTCCTCCACAGAGTAGAGATGAGATTTTTCTACTCCATGACAGAGAGGCACAGAGCCAAATGTCCTGTGTCAGTTACCTGGAGAGACCTGGTCATGAGTGACTAACATACATTATCAAAGCTGATCTTGCTCTGTATCTTTGTGGTAAGTAAAATGTTGCTCAATCCAGTGCTTGACTTTAATGCATTTTCCTTAGAAACTTTGATAGAAAGATATAATAAACAAAAGTATCTAGGATTATATTCTTGATGGTTGACACAGTGATGATCTCTCTATCCTCCATCTCATGCATCTCGTGACATTTCTTCCTTAGGGTGGTAACTAGTGCACAATGTTCTACTCCCCTGGGATTGACTAATGAGTGTATAGTATTCTGCCTAACTTTTGGTAAAAATAGATATAAAATAACCCATTTGCTATTTGTGATTCTGAACTGGGTGTTTAACTCTTGATTCTGATATACTTTCTTCATTTAAAATTGATAATATAAATTGGTCAAGAGGAATATAGCTTCTCTTCAAAAAAAAAAAAAAACAGAAGAGATGAGAATATTCTAAGTCATAAAGCAAGTAGTATGCTGATAACAAAATCAAGCAAAGATACAGTGAAATGATAACACAAATAACCCTTGTTAATACAGAGGCAAAAATCCTTAACAAAATTCTATTAAATGGATTTTAGTAACATAAAAAGAATGATCTATGAGTTTTACCTCAATTCAATTTGTTTTAATATTTAAAAATGATTTATTTTAGAGCCAGGTGTGGTGATGCACACCTTTAATCTCAGCACTCTAGTTGCAGAGGCAGGCAAATCTCTGGGAAATTTAGGCTAGCCTGGTCTACATAATGAGTCATAGGCCAACTGAGGCTACAGGCAGACCCTACCGCAAAAAAATGATTTTAATAATGATTTTAATATGTCAGTAGAATAAAGGACAAAAATCACTTTATCACCCTCATAGATAGAAAAAAAAGAGGCATTTCAGAAAATCCAATTCCCTTTTCTCATGTAACAAAGCATTTGATAAGTGAAATTGTAGAAAACTTTCCTCACTTTGAAAAATGACAAATACAAAGACTACAGCTAATATAATTAGTGAAAGAATGAATACTTTCCTTACAAGGTTAGGGCAATCCTAAGAAATGCACTTAAAAATTAGAACTAATTGAGGAATTCAGCAAGGCTGAAGACCACAAATTAGTATATTAACAAAGTCAACAAGGAGGGTGGGTTCTGTCCTCTGTCTGTGTAGTGGCTGTGATCTCAGCAGACCGCCAGAGAGTGCTTGTTTCAGGCTTCCCTCTGACATAGGGGCTGAGAACTCAGGGGACTGCCTGAGACTGCCAGGATCCTGCTTCCATTCTTCTCCTAATTATGCTGTACCCAACCCCCTAACTGGGATTGCGTGAGGCTCCTCCCAAGGCCACCGGGCAGACCTAGCTTTGGTAGGATAAGGGTGGGTTCCAACCTCCATCTGTGTAGTGGCTGTAATCTCAGCAGACCACCAGAGAGTGCCTATTTCTGGACTCCCTTTGGCATAGGGGCTGAGAACTCAGCAGACCAATTGAGAGGTTCAAAATTGGCTCCCCCTTAGGGAACTTCCAAAATTTTGCTCTTGAGTTTTTGCTAGTAGGGGTCCAAACCTTAGAAGGAAGCCTGAGTGTATCTGATTGGAACCTGACTTGGGCTTCTGTGGGTGCTCCTCAGTAGCTGATCTGAAGCCATCAGCTCCTTCCAAAATAAAACCTGAGATAACATGAAACCTGGACCAACCAGCTTTACATAAACAATAAGAAAAGGCCCAAGGCACACCAATAATACAAACAGAAGCATACTTCAATTTAATTCTCATATCAGAATCATAAACAACAAAAAAATTCACATGCCAAAATAACAAAGAAAGAATAATAAAATGGAAAGCCAAAACACTATGTCCCCACCAAACTCCACCAGACCTGTACAAGAGTTCTATAAGGAGAACACCCTAGAGATAACCCAGGACATAGAATTTAAAAGAACAATCATAAACATCTCAAGGAATTCAACGAAATTAAAGAACACATGAACAGGGGCTGGAGAGATGGCTCAGCAGTTAAGAACATTGACTCTTCTTGCAGAAGACCCCGGTTCAAATCCCAGCACCCACATGGCACCTAACAGCTACCCATAACTGCAGTTCCAGGGAATCTGACAGCCTCTTCTGTCCTCTGCGGGCATGGCATGACATGGGTGCACTTACCTACATGCAGGCATATCACTCATACACATAAAAAAAAATTAAAAAAAGGAAAAACACATGAATAAACAAATCAAATAACTGAAAGAAGACAGGGATAAACATCTGAATGTATTCACAAGAGAGACAGAAACATTGAAGAAAACTCAGGCAGAAATGAAGGAGATACAAAACTCAATAAGCCAACTTGAAACAACAGGGAAAGCCTCACCTCTAGAATGCATGAAATGGAAAACAGAATACCAACACTGGAGGATAAAGTTGAAGAATTGGACCCTCAAGCAAAGATTATGAAAAATTAAAAAAAAAAACAGGAATGGAATATGCAAGAGATGTGGGACACCATGAAAAGACCAAATCTATGTACCACAGGCATACAGGAAGGAGAAGAAATTCAGGTTAATGGTATTGACCAGATCTTAAACAAGACTGCAGAAGAGAATTTCCTGAAGGAAAGATATACCCATACAAATACAGGAAGCACAGAGAACACCAAATAGACAGGATCAGAAAAGAAATTCCCCACGACATATCATAGTAAAAACACTAAATGTACAGAACAAAGAGAGAATACAAAGCATCAAAAGAAAAACAACACGTCACATACAAAGGAAATCCCATCAGAATTATAGCTGACTTATCAATGCAAACTATGAAAGCCAGAAGAGCCTGGACCAAGGTATTTCCAGTTCTAAATGACAACAGATGCCAATCCAAAATACTTTACCCAGTAAAAACGTCTATTTTACTGAGGAGGAAAGAAAAATCTTCCATGACACGAATAGCATGAAAGAATACATGTCCACAAAACCAGCCCTTCAAAGAATACTTGAAGCAATACAGAGAGTGGAGAGAGAAACAACTATACCCTAGGGGAAATGAAAGAAAATAAATAAAGGTATAATTGAGGAAACAAAATTAGATAGAGAATGCAAACAGCAATCAAAATGATGGCAACCAATGCCCATCTTTCAATAATAACTATAAATATCAATGGACTGAACTCCCCATCAAAAGACACAGGCTAAGTGAATGCATTAAGGAACAAAATCCATCTCTTTGCTGTCTGCAAGAAACCCACCTCACCTTCAAGGACAGGCACTATCTTTAGGTGAAAGGATGGAAAAGAATATACCAAGCAAATGGTACTAAGAAACACACAGGGGTTGCAATACTAAATCTAACAAAATAGACTTCAAAGTAAAACTAGTCAGAAAAGATAAGGAGTGTCACTCATTCTGATCAAAGGAACAATTAATCAAGAAGATATTACAATCCTTAATATATATGCACCAAACTCTGGTGCACCCAAATTCATAAAAACAACACTACAGGACTTTAAGACACAGATTAACCCCAACTCAGTAACAGTAGGGGACTTTGATACCCCACTGTCTCCATTAGGTCAACTGGACAAAGAATAAACAGAGACATTTGAATTAAATGATATCATACATCAAATGGACCTAATAGACATCTTTCGAATATTCTACCCAAGCACCAAAAAATACACTTTCTGCTCAGCACCCATTGGAACTTTTTCAAAAATTGACTACATACTGAGCCACAAAACAACCATCAACAAATACCAAAAAATTGAAATAATTCTATGCATTCTATCAGACCACAATGCAATAAAGCTCAAGATCAACACTGGACAAAGCCTTAGTCACTACATGAACTCATGACAATTAAACAACACACTCTTAAACAATGAGTGGGTCAAAGGAGAAATTAAGAAAGAAATAAAAGAATTCCTGGAATTCAATGATTTGTGTTTCACTAATGGTTTCACACCTGGTAGCTGGCATTGAGTACAGAAGTAGGGCTCAGTACCATGCTGCATATTCCACATTTTAAAATATGTATGAGTGAATGGGAACAGGCTAATGAAATCCTTGACTGGATAAACTATATTCTCTT